CAAGAAGAGGCTGACCAGTTCATAGAGCTCCATTTTGAATTTCTCCATCAAAAGAGGCAGACAACCCATCAACCTCACTTCAGCTTCCTGACAGGATCACGAAACTGTTCTCTAGACAATGCTCTACAGAAACGAGGTTTTCCCATTCTTCATTCTTGCCATCTAATCCTTTCACAAATGGAATCACATTGCCTTCAGTGTAAAAATACCAGAATGTGTTAGACATCACCAATTAGAACATAGATGTTAAAATGTGCATCATTCATAAAACCCCCGTACATGAACACCTCTTTAAACTATTGTGCTTGAAATACTCCCTCTCATTTAGATACCAGCATTCACTGGACACCAGGACTGTCTAAAGCTGCACTTGTCCAAAGCTGTAGACATTAGCCACATGCGCCACTATGTACTTAAAATGTGTCAGCTGGGACTGAGGGACTGAGGGAGTGTGGTTTACATTTTACTTCATTTTAATTAATTTATACCTTAAAGACCTAGCACCAAAAGTAATGTAAAATATCTCATTAATATTTCTATATTGACTGCATGTCCATATAAACAACAAAGCCCAGTTTTATGACAAGTATCCACCTCATATAAAATATGAGAAAAATACATTATGATAATACTAGTATTGTGCACAGCTCTTTGCCCCAAGCAAACTCTCAGGTCAAAATTGATGATCATAGTAGGATAATATTTTTCATAGTCTTATTTATGTTAAATAAATTGTGTATGTCTACCACACCTGCCTCTAGTAGACTATGATCTTTTTGAAATTGAGCTTAATTGCTCATTTAAAAAACACAGCATGGGGGCCATCAGGTGGCATGGTGGTTAAGGGCACTGGACTCCCACATGGCCGGCCATGGTTCGAGTCCTTGGCCTGGCATCTTGCTTTCTCGTTTTCTCTCTCTCTCCATCTCTGCTCAAACTAAAATACATAAATAATCAAACAAATAAAGTTAAATAATTCTTTTTAAAAACCACTCAACGTGGTTCTTACAATTAAAATCTTTCCATAAATGTTTGAGGATTTGAGTAGATTGTAAAATGTTATTTTTTAAGCATTTGTTTTTCTGTAAAAGAAAGCCTAAACTAATATTCATTCAGGAAAAGCAGCATTCTTTATTAACCAAATGTCGATTTTTCCTAAACCAATCAATCAATCAAACAGAAGTCAATCAAAAGAGGGCTTCCCCCCACCCCCAAAAAACCAGGACATGCTTATTTTAAAGTTCCAGGGAAGAAAAAAGGCAATTTGGTGAAAAAAGTGTGGTGAGTGGAGGCAGGCAGAGTGTGTTCGCCTTACCCGATAGCCAGACGTTTACGCAGCCATAGTAAATTCTCGTAACTGCAAATCGGGTTATGGGTCAACAGAGAGAGAGTGCGGAAATGGACTTGTGCCTACGTGGGGGGATAATCTAAAACGGACAGAGCATAATCAGTGGGAAAAGGGAATACTGGCCGTCGGTATGAACGAAGGTGACACTGCAGTAGACCCCCGATTCAAAAGCAAAATGATAAATTGGGGTTCAATTTCTTGATCTCTGGAAATAAAATGTCATCTTTTCTGTTACTGAGAATTCCAAACAGATGATGTCCTACAAAAATTATAGTGACATCTGTTATCCCTACCCGATCAATGGAAATAAATAGGAACAAACCAACAGAAATAAAAAGGAACAACAATGAGGTTAAGAGCCTATCTGGAAGATGCCTACACAACAGGGGAGGTAACACTCGCTTCTTTAATGTACTGAATACACCAGATAGCGCTGTGGCTTTGTAAAGGTCAGACTTCCGGAACTGAGGCGGAGACTACCAAGTACACGCGGTACAGCGCTTTGAAGAGTTCTTTGAAGCTACCTCCACAAAGCTGAAGCCCCATCTAGCTGAACAGTGACTGTGGTCCAGTGATGCTCACAGCACCCCTCGGCTCCCCTCGCTGGGGCCTGTTGTTCACTGAGCACAGCTCGGTTTTATCTTCACTCCCACGGACCTACGCCAGTTACCCTCGGGAACCCTCCACGGCAGACATTCAGAGCACTCAGCATGGAGACAGGTCTCTCTGGAAGCCGCGGGGTTACTTACACTGCCACTCCCCACACGGGGCTCTGGCAGGAAAAAAAAAAAGTTTCAAACATGTCCCATGTCACACATGTCTGGGACCCTCGCTCTGATTCACGTATTTCTTGTTGGGAGCCATTTCAGCCTGTCTTCTAGATCATGGTGTTTGACCCTGTGGGGATCACATGCCACAGACAGGGTGTTTCTATGATTACCTGTGTGACTTTGCGTGGACCACGGTGACAAAATATCACAGCCCAAGTGGCCCAAATGACAGAAGTTTCTTTCCTCCTGGTTCTGGAGGCTAGGAGGTCCAGATCAAGGTGCTAACAGGCTTGGATTCCTCTGAGGTTTCTCTCCTGGGCTGGCAGGTGCCCACCTCTCACTGGGTCTCACGTGGTTCATGACTCTGGGCATGTGCACCCTGGTGTTTCTTAGGGAATCCAAGTTACCGATTCTTATAAAAACACCAGTCCTTAAGGCCCAAGCTAAGGGCCTCATTTCAACTTAATCACCTCTTGAAAGGTTCCATCTCCAAATGCAACCATATTCCAAGATATTAGAGGTTAGGACTCAACACAGGAATCCAAGGGGGATCGCATCCCGAACTCCACACATGCTGACTCACTGGGCAGATAAATGTAAGCAGCCAAGTGGTGAAGAACGGCCGCTGGGAAGTGAAGGAGGCAGGGTTTCATCTCTGGGAAAATAAGAACCTGACTTCTTTTGAAAAAATAAATAAATAACAAGCTGCTCGTTTTGATTAGGTACTTTGTTAAACTCCTCCTTTAATCCTAACATTGAGATAGAGTTCCTAGATACCTGTCTTTCCCCCTTCTGAGCAGCCCCAGTTTCTACCATGCCATTCCTCTGTGGGAAACATGTGCAGAGCATGTGGTGGGACAGAAAGGGAGACCCTGGAAAGAGAGGTCGAACAGAGGGAGCACGAGAGAAATTAGTGCACGGATAAAAAGTTTGGCAAGAAAATTGGCCTACGACTGAGAAGTAAGAGAGGCACTTCTCTGAAGGAGACACCAGGGCAGGCCTGAGCAAGTGCATTTCTGCTGCGAAAGAGGTGACAGGAAGGAAACAAGCATCGAGCTTTTATGAGACCCAGAGGCTTCTTTTGAAAATGGGATATAACCTACTTAGAAGGACTTTAGAGACAAGAAGACGCATGGTTAACAGTGCTGTAGTACCTGGGAGACAGGAGAACATTCTGCTGCTTCTGGGTGGTTTTCAGGTCGCAAAGACTCAAACCTGAGGCTAGCAAAGTCTTTTTAACCTCAGGTTCCGGTGCTGAAAGTCTGCATCATGTCTGCTATGGTTTAAATGTCTCCCTGAAATTCATGTATTAAAATGTGGTGATTATTAGGATCATAAGAGAGGAGGCTTAGGCTACCCCTGTGGCCTAGTGGTTAAGGGGGCCAGATCCCACATGATTGACCACGGTCTGTGTCCTGACCATGGCAGCTTGAGAAACATGCTGGGCACCTATGTATGCATGACCAAAACTTGACAGGGTAGAGACAGGACTGTGACAGTATCATGCCCTCCTAAGGTGCACTTTTTCTCTCTCTCTCTTTCCCCCTCTGAAGAGTGCATGAGTCCTCTAGCGAAAACAAAATGAAACAACAGAGAAAAAGGAAGAGAGGAGGCTCTTGAGAGGTGATTAGGATCAGAATGGGCTCCTGATAGCTTTATACAAGGGAGAGTCCAGAGCAGACAGACACACAGAGCAGACCAACATAGCACACTCTTGCATCTCTGGCTCCACGTTGCCTGGGAATTCTGCAGAGTCCCCACAACCAGAAGATCCTCATCCGATGTGGCCCCTTGACTCCAGCCCTCCAAAACTGCAAGCTAAATGAAGCCTTCCACATCACCCAGACATGAATATTTCCGTTATTAAGTAACAAAGAATGGACAGAAACTATACTTAAATAAATATATTTAAAGAGCTGTTGCCAAAAATGGGATTTTATAATTACATATTGATTTATATTGGCTTCCTTGGTCTGCTGCAGAGGCTGGACTCTCTCCAGGACCACTTCCCTGCCAATTTCTAGGTAGCTTATAGCAATTTCAAAGTATCTCCAAATATACATTTTCAACAGATGGGATTATTAAATGCCTAGTGCAAACAATGATCCATGGATGTGTCACCACCACCAGGAGACAAAGCCGAGCTTCTCTCTGCTTCACTCTCATTCCAATAAATATTTACATCCTCCCATTTAGTCATTTCAAAACTGCAGGATATAGAATTCCATTGCTCTTTTAAGGTGAATGCCAAAGTTTGTTACTGCTTCCTGGATTTGCCAATGAACTTGCTCTCGGAATTTATTTTTAGCATAAGGAAGAGATGGAACAGCTCATGGTCTATAGATATTTTCATCTACATGCCAACCATACTTCTCAGTACGACACTCAGGGTTCTTTCCCAAATAGAAAACTTTTGTCTTTTTTTTTTGAAGTATACGTACATTTAAAGCCTAGACTTGTAGAACTTTTCTGAAGTGTGTGGTCCAGGCTTCATTTTCAGATGAGGAAACTGAGGCACGGATATGTAAAATAACTTGCTACTCAGTGGCAGAGCTGGAGGCACAGGTACAAGAGGGAGAAGAGGGACTTTGCAGTCATCGTGGGCTCCTGCTGGGCAGCCCAGTCTGTGTGTGCTCTCGCACACACACGCCTGCGGCACACAGTCTTGTCACAGGGTTAGGACACTGAGGTTGAGACTGAGAGGTTGGAAAACTGCCCACTGTCAGCTGGAGTAACTGACTAAAGCCCAAGGGTGTCTGTTACCACAAAATAATGCTTCCATTTTCCTACTTCCTGTATTTTTATGTAAGTTTATTTATTTTTATCTTCCATGAGAGAGAAAGAGAGACAGAGGGACAGGCACCTCAGCAGGGTTCCCGTACCCAGTCTGAGTCGGTCTAATCGCAGGCAGGGATGCACATGTGCACTAGCATACTCAGGTTGGTCCTGGGATGCGAACCCAGGAGCTTTCCCTTGTGAGTCCAGCTACCTCATCACTGTGTCACCAGTTGGTTGGCCCGTCTCCTTATACTTTCTAAGAAAAGAAACAGAAACATGTTACACTATTAGAGCCAAAATTGCCATTTATAGTGGAATTATACAAAATTAAATTCAGTAGTTTCTTAAAACATTAAGTTTCTTTCCTACTCTTCAGTCTCTGGATTATCACTGGGTTTCTGTTTGGGCAGCATAAATGACATTTACTTAAGAAAATACGAATTAACACATTTTTAAGTACAAGTCAAGTGAAAGCCTAGTGACCTTAATTAATCACTGATGAAAAATTCCATAATCTTTTTGCTTTATTTTGAATGGGATTATTTAAATGAAAACATAAGGCAGTTTCACATGTCTTATCTGAATAGGAACTTTTTTTTTTTGAGAGGTTTTCGCTATAGGGCGCGTGTGCTCGCCAGAAAGACAGAGAGAGACAGACAGAAAGTGAGAAATCACCCCCTGGAGGGATAGCCATGCTAAAATCCCTTCTCCTCCATTCTCCTCTCGGGATCTTGGGCATGCACACACACGTGCCCGGCGTGAGTTTTAAGCCACCGGGTCTGGGACGCGAACTGCGGTCGACTACGTGGGAGTCCACCGACACAGCCATTACGCTAACTGCTGGTTCCCCTGAACAGGAACTTTTGTGAATATATACGGTTGTTAGAAAAGTCATGATTTTTTTTTTTTTTGAGAGTGTTTTGCTATAGGGCATGTGCGCTCGCCAGAAAGACAGAGAGAGACAGACAGAAAGTGAGAAATCACCCCCTGGAGGGATAGCCATGCTAAAATCCCTTCTCCTCCATTCTCCTCTCAGGATCTTGGGTACGCATGTACACAACATGCCTGGCATGAGTTTAAGCCACCGGGTCCGGGACTCGAACTGCATTCGACTATGTGGGAGTCCAGTGACATAGCCATTACGCCAATGGCTGGTCCCTCATGATGCATTTTTGCATAGAAAAAAATACTTACATGCCCATAATCAAATGTTCACAGCGAGAGACATGAAAAGGTATCAGAATTTAGTATAACTATTAAATGATTTGAACTCAAGATCATCTGATACCAAGACCTAAGATATTTTATTATAGAACATTTCCCAAGTTAAAAAAAGTAAATATGGGGACCAGCAGTTAGCATAATGGCTATGTCGCTGGACTCCCACGTAGTCGACCGTGGTTCGCGTCCCCGACCCAGTGGCTTAAACTCACGCCGGGCGCGTGTGTGTGTCTGCCCAAGATCCCGAGAGGAGAACGGAGGAGAAGGGATTGCGGCGTGGCCATCCCCCCTGGGGGGGGATTTCTCGCTTTCTGTCTCTATATCTCTCTCTGTCTGTCTGGCAAGTGCATGTGCCCTATAGCAAAAACCTCTAAAAATATATAAATAAATAAAAAGTAAATATGCACAAGTACATAATGCATGTTGAAAACATATCAAGATATTTAGACGTGAAAGTTTCTTAGAAGCTTGCATTTGCTCCACAGAACTTAGTCTTACTTAGGAAATGTTTCATTAATCTGACCACTGGTGCTCAATTTCTGTGATCTTGCTAATTAGAAACAGTTCTACTTTGCAGACAGAATAAATAAGTTATATCTGATATGATTTGGTAACTACTCATCCATAACTAAACTTGCTGTGAAACACAGTTGGAGCACAGGGCTAATGAGACCTAATGCTTCACACTTATTGACCCCAAGTGCGGTGGACAGGAGGGTTCTCCTTAAACCCCACAGAGCACGTCTGGATTGTATGAGCTACTAAATGCGAGTCAGACCTATTGCCACTGACGTGAGAACAGCTCCAAGGGCCCGTACTGTTTCTAGTCACAGGAGCCCATGGCATACCTAATATTAGTTTTCAAAACACAGCAAGTGGGGCCAACAGGCAGTTAAGGCACTGGACTCTCACATGGTTGACCACAGTTCAAGTCCCAGGCTTAAAAATCATGCTCTGGGGACCAGCAAATGGCGTTAATGGTTACATGGCTGAACTCCCACATAGTCGACTGCGTTTCAAGTCCTAGGCACGGCAGCTTAAAACCCATGCCAGGTGCATGTGTGTGCATGCCCAAAATCCTGAGAGGAAAGTGGAGGAAAAGGGACTGTGGCATGGCTATCTCCCCTGGGGAGGGGGGGGTGTCTCGCTTTCTGTCTCTCTGTCCCCCTGGAGAGTGCACACCCTATAGCAAAAAAAAGAAAAATCATGCTGGGTACGTGTGTGTGCCCATAATCCTGAGAGGAGAAGAAATTGTGACATGGCCATCCCCCCCGGGAGTGATTTCTCACTTTCTGTCTCTCTGTCCCCCTGGAGAGTGCACACCCTATAGCAAAAAAACCTCAAAAAAAAAAAAATACAAACAGGTGACACTCTTAGACTTTTCACACCTACTCACACTTATTGCATAGTTTTAGAGTGTCTGGCTAAAGCCATTTTTCCTTAATAGTAAAGCGTCTCTTGAAAGACTAAGAAAGTTGAAGTCTACCCCCCACACTCTCCCCAACACACACTCGGGCCATCCAGAGTAGAATGGAAACCAGGAAGGGAATGAGCTCCTTTGTTTTCATGCCATCCTGTCCCTAATAATAATTAGGCAGTGTTTTTCAAAGAGAACAACAAAGCCATTCCAGGCACTGTCACCTCATTGCCATTTTGTAATCCAGACTGGTATAAAGGCGAACCTGGCTATTATTATTTTTAAATCTCAGCCTTCTCTTAATTGCCAAGAGCATATTCAGTAAATCAAATCTACTTCCTTCAGCATTTAACATCCCATTTGTCTCCCAGTAGAAACACACATTTCCTGACAAAAAGGCGCCATGTCGCTAAAAAGGAAGTTGAAGTCTTTAAGGTTCAGATAAGTCTTTTCAAAAGGAAAAAAACTTTTGGCAGGACTTGCGTGCATCCTACACGCATGGAAATTGGAAATTTGTCCTTCATTTCATGGCTAGACTGTACAAAATATAAACTATACCGGTACCAGGTCACCAACCCCACAAAATATATCTGTGGTTCAAATAATTTAATCTTGGATTTGGGGGTGTGTGAGGACACTTTCTATCTCTGCTCCCTGGTGCTCCTGACCCTCAATCCAGGGAGAGCACATTTGAATATGCATTCAGCTATGCCTCACTAGGAACCTTGTTTTGCTAGAACAAGCAACATGAAATCATTAGTTTATGAAACAGGGCCAGGTAAGATGAAGCCCATAAAACCACCAATATAGATTATTTTTACACAGCAATGGGGTTATTTCTGCTTCCTTGTTCTCTTATTTTACCAATCCCCTTAGAAAATCTATTTTATTTTTATTTGGTAAGGAGCCTGTGTGCTTGTCAGAGAGAGAGAGAGAGAAAGCACCCTCACAACAGATGGCCATGCTGCAATCTCTTCTCTTTTACTTCTCCTTTCAAAATTTTGGGCACACATACATACTCACCTGAAGTATTTTTCAAACTACCACGTCTGGGACTTGAATGGCATAACTAGCCATGTGGGATCCAGCCATCTTAACCACCACGCCAACACTGGTCCTCTACATCTGTTTTTTGAGGGGTACGGTTCATACAACTATTGTAGCTTTCCCCTGTTGATGAACTGAGTCACCAAGTTGAGCCTGGCCCTTTGAGTCTTCACCTAACATTTACAGCAAGCCGGAGCAAACCCAACACTGATGTTTACTGAGGGCCTCCTGCGTCAGGCTCAGGCCAGGCTGCAGGGATCCATGGTGAACGAGACCACCGACAGAACCTGACCAGGCAGAGCACAGCATGGGCCAGGGAAGACAGACATCAAGCAAGGGAGTACAGTGTGGTTTGGGCTCTCAGGAAGAGAGAGAGGGTGTGATGGGGGCATGTGACAGGGTGGTTGGAAGGATGGATGATCCAGGAGTTAGGAAGGATTCTGTAATAAGACGTTTACGTTCAGGCCAAGAGGAAGAACAGTTTTAAGTGACGACAGAAGAGAAAGGGAAAGACAGCTGAGCAAAGTGGTGTGTACGTGGGGAATGGAGGTAACTATAGGAGAGGTGGAAAGGTAATGGGTGGGGCTGGGAGGTGAGAACCAGGTGACAGGGCTCAGCTGGCTGGCTGAGGAAATCTAGAATTTATTGCCAGGCAGCCAGAAGGCACCAATAGGTTCTAAGCAGAGGAGCCATGTAATAAGACAGTTATAATTATTGTGGTTGTTTCAGATCATTCTGGGTGTGGCTAGGGTAGAGCTGGATAATCCAGTGTGTTAGCTTTTTTCCTGATAAACCACATACAGTGGTGTGAGCACCACACTCACTCCTCCCCCTTTTTTAATTAAAAACTCCCCTAATTATGTAGGGGGCTGCTCTGATCAGCGGGACGTAGGTATAAAACTATTATTTGAACCAGACAGAATCAGGCTTCGTGTGGTCAAAGGAAGACAATGAGATGATTATTCAGGGCAAAAGCATTGCTTATGCTGGGAAAGAACATTCGGGACCTGCAGATATTAGTGGGACACCCACTGCCCTTGGGCAGCTCCTAGCCCGGTGAGCTAGCCCAGAGGCAACCCCTCTAGATGCTTAGGAGTGTGTCCCCTTTATTAACTGACAAGGATGCCCAGGCTGAGAAAGTTAAATCTTTTTTTTTTTTTAACGAGGTTTTTGCTATAGGGCGTGAGCACTCTCTAGACAGAAAGAGACAGAGAGACAGAAAGCGAGAAATCCCCCCCCAGGGGGGATGGTCACACCGCAATCTCTTCTCCTCCATTCTCCTCTCGGGATTTTGGGCACGCACGCAAACGCGCCCGGCATTTATTTTTTAAGCTACGGGGTCCAGGACACGAACCGCGGTCAACTACGTGGGAGTCCAGTGACATAGCCATTACGCTAACTGCTGGTTCCCGAGAAAGTCATATCTTTGAAAAGACTTCTTTCGCACAGCTCTTCACAGAGTTCTACCTCTTTATGCACAATCCTAATCTGAGCTGGAGAGGCTTCAGCAAGAGGCAGCATGACCACCCTGGAGACTACGCCCTGATCTAGGCAGAGTGATGGAAGCTTGG